AGAGGGCAGGATCGGGTAAGAAGCGTCTTCCATGATCCCACACGCAGCTTGCTTGTCGAAATCATCGCGCTTTAGGAGAATGTAGCCCTCCATCCCCCACTCTGGGCCCCAGCTGTTCTTGACCTTCCAATACTGCCCCTCTTCACTTCCCTCTCCCCCGCCGTACCCGACGCACAGCACCCCATGGTTCAGTTCCTGCTCGCACTTCCCATCGAAGACACCGGCCTCGTAAAACATCCAGGCGCGGCTTGCACCTACAGCCACGGAAACAGGCTGTGCGGCCACGGCCTCTTGGAGCTCGGTCATAGAGTTGCGGCGCACCGTAATCCATTTCTCGGGGGCCGTGCCTGGCACGACTGGGCAAGGAAGGCAGACGGCCTGTTCCTCCGCAGTGGTGCCGCTCACGTAGGGGTAGTCCGAGAGCAAGCACAGACCTCCGTTCATTTGCATCCATTTGAACGTCTGTTGCATCTCCCCACCCTGACAGCCCCCGTCCAAGCCGTCGCAGTCCACGATTTCTTGCATGGAGAACTCGGACAAGACGCCCGTCTGCAAATAGTACGCCCCCTCCACGGCCCCGACCGCGGAAAAGGAGTAGCAGGATCCACACTGCCCTTGGTCCTTAACGGGCGTGACGGCCCCCTTCTCCACCCAGTCAATGGAGGGAGGGAGAGAGGAAGAAGGGTTCTCGATGTGGGGAAGCCAGGCTGGGCGAGGGAAGGTGTAAGGAGGAAACCGTTCAGTGTTCATTCCAATGGCATGATTTTTGTCGGTCGTTGAAAGATGACCGCGCAATGATCGACTTGTGGCGAGCGCATCGTTCTGCGGCGTCTCGTCTTCCTCAAAAGAGGGGGGAAACGCTGTGGTGGGGCGGGTAAAGCCGAGGTGCATGGCTCGGAATTCGTCGAAAGTTAAATGCGAAAAACGGTTGTGCCCCAATGTATATGATGGACGAGGGTGTTGTTGGGCATTGTGGGACAGAATGAAGGCATGGTTGGCGGCGAAAATCCGAAGTCGATGGGCAATTTTAGAGGGAGGAATACTGATGTTGTGATGTTTCATCCAGGCGCGGAAGAGGGGCCGCAAGGACAAGATGTCATCACGTTCCTCTTGGACATCGACAATTGTGTCGTTCAAGGCTGCACATGTGGCAAGAAAGGCCCAAAAGAAGGGGAAGAGGACGCGCATTCTTGCAGGCCTTCCCTGTGTAAATTGAGTCGAGGCTGTTTCGATGTTTGGAATTTAAAATGCGAAGTTTGAGCGATGCGCAGGGAGGAGAGGGTCGACGTGTCAAAGCTGTGGACTTGTGCCGGATCGCACGGCCAGATCCGACCGTACCATTCACCATTGAAGCACGTAGACAAGCCATCGAAGTAATGGACGCGCACGCCCAAGGGGACAGTAAGGGAAGCATTGGACACGTCGACCCGGGCCGCGCGAAGAAAAAGGAGGAGCCCGGCGGATTGAAGCTGGCCCATGGGGCAGGAGGTTGCGTCCTCCTGCCCGGCCCGCCTTGCCCTTCCTCCTCCTCCAGGAAAGGTCAGTGTATTTCCTGAGGATGCCTCACATCCCTGCCCACTGGATTTTCCATTGAACGACGTCTTCCTTGCAACTGTACGTTGCTGAATAGCTACGCAAAAAGGAACATATGCCTTACGACCGTCTTCACCTCCCCGTCAATTCCGGAACGGCACGTCATCGACCGAGCGCACGAAAGAAGGCGAAAACTTTTCTTTCTGCCGAAGATAACTTTCATTCAGACATAAAGAAGGTGCTTGGACGCATTTCGCCACCTGCAACCGCTCGAAGGGCGGCTATTACCCCAGAGGAGAAGAAAGGAGTTGAGGAAGCGGCAGTGAGGAAAGAGCGTGCCACCGATATGATGCGAGAGATAGAAGTATCGGACAGAACTCATAGCGAGGAACAGCGGATACAGGAGGATCAAAAGATTTTTGATATCACACATCACACTCAAGATCTCCGAGATAGCGCTATGGGGGTCGAGCAGCTGCTCGTTGCTACGATGGCAAAGGTACTTTGCCCAATTCTCTGCTGAAGTATATCTTCCCCTTTTGACCGATCCACTGCCAACACTAAAGTCTCTCCTTCATGTACATCCTACATTCATTTCTTAAGCTCCAGACTGTCTACCACTCGGAAGTAAAAAAAAAGGTAGAATTCCTCTCCCTGCTCAATAGGGAGATCGATGAAAAAAAAGAGCGGATCCAGCAAGTCCTGGGGGCCATCAGGACGTTGTCGCAAGCATTTGGAACCGAAGTAAATGTGACCTCATCATTGTTGATAGACCCTGTCTATGAGGGCGAAGAAGACGGAGGTGAATCAGGAGAAGGAAAGGGAGGCGGAGGAGGGGACGAAACAAACCAAGAAGAAACGATTGGAGGGAACGATGAATTTAGAGGAAGAGGTCAAAATGAGGGTGTTCAAAATGTGCTGGGGTGCAAGTCTGAGGTTTGGAATGAAGAGGGCACCATTGAAACGCACACAAGGGGCCTCCACCCTTTCAACGACAATAGTGTCTCCGATCTGCACTCTCACAAACACCCACAGGAGCGGCGGATCCCGAAGACGAGTGCATGCCCGATCCATGCACAAGAAGTGAAGCCATGCGCGCGGAATGCTCTAGAAAGAAACGAGAAAAATATAAAAGAAGAGAGGAAAGAGGACGAAGATTCCACGGCCAGTAGGACAAACAACGAAAATACAAGGGGATAAAGGGGGTGGTCAGAGCAAGACGATAGATGACGTAAAATATTTTTTGCCCACATCCTGCTTGTGTTCGAAAAAGGGAAGAAGTCCTGGATCGTTGGCGTACTGTCATGCCATTACCCTGGAAGCGGTTGAATAAAAACCATGGGGGTGGGGGGTTGAGAACATGGCTGTCAGCGACTCGACGAGGGAGCTTGAACAAATTGAACGCTGTCAAGATGTGAGACCATCGAGATTAACAGGCACCCAGATGAAAACGTAAAGGCTGTCTTGTAGGTGGGAGGATCATTAGAGGGGCGCATGTGACTATCATAGAATGTCCTGGAACACATAAAGAATGACTTGACGACGAAGCATCGTCACGTGGACACAGGCGGTAAAGCGCATTTGTTTGAACGAGAAAAACAAAATATGACCGAGGCTCGACCCTTTCCGCATACAAGCCGCCTATTTCCTATTATTCCAAAGCTTGATTTTTGTCTTGTGCATCAAATGTGTGGGGGGGTGACCGAAGAAATCACTAGCTGTTCTTAAAGCGCCGAATTCCCGACTTTCCCACTACATCTTTAGTGTACCGTACTCACGTCGATTTAGCATAGCCGCCCCGTTGTCCACGTCATTCCTTTCCTTGCAAGAGGACCTACCGGCCCCAAAAGAACGAACAAGCAACCGCAGCGACATCACCTGTCACTCCCTCCCCTATCACGTGTTCGCATCCTTTCCCTACTCTCCCACCTTTTTGGGCTTGAAAAAAGGCCGAAGCTTCTCCACCAGTTTCGGGTACTCTTTGGCCATGTCGTCCTCGTTCCCAAACGTCATGTCCCTGTAGTCGAAGCCCGGCGCCACAGCTTCCCCCAGCAGACCCCATCCCACCGAACCCCCCTCCAGGACGGTCGCCTTCCACACTCCCCCTTCGACGATCAACTGCAGCGTGTGCCCGTGGGCCAGGTCGGGCCCCAGGACATGTCTTTCCAGGCGTCCGGTGGATGGGGGGAGGAGGTAGTAGGCGAGGGGATCGCCCCCTTGATAGTAGTGGACGATGTTTGAGCGGTTTTTGTGCCAAAACCCAACGGGTGCCTCGGTGGTCAGGAGGTAGAAGATCGAGGTGCAGATGTTGCGGGGGGAGGACGGGAGAGAGGAGGCGGGAGAGGGTGAGGAGGGAAGGAGGGTGCCGCTTGTGTCAGTGAGTCCTTGAGAAGCCCCTGGACAGGCGCCACTGCGGTAGGTTTCCTTGAAAAATCCGCCCTCAGGGTCTGAAGAAAGGGGAGAAAGTAAAGAAGGGTGGCATCAGGACATCGCGACGTGGAGAGCCCGGAGGGTTGAACTTGACGGACCCTGGAAGCGCGAGGGACGTCGGGTCCCGTCCCCTCCCTTGCACGTTACCCCCCCTCTCTCCCTCCTTCTTACGAGGTTGGAGGCCTAGGAGCCGGACGATGGCTTCTGCTGTGTGGTGATTGAGCGACATGCCCCCGGGCAAGGACGAGGCAGGGAGGGAAGGCAACGAGGGGTGCGCACGAAGGCGGGTTGGGGTGCGAAAAGTCCTGTGAAGTGCCGGAATGTGGCAGTGCAAGGGACAGTCAGACCGGCGTGTTGGGTGTCTGAATGGTCATCCTCTTCTCGAAGGCCGACATGAACCGGGCGGGAGGCACGAGGGGAGAGGGAGATGTTATCAATGTCTCAGGCCGCGAGCCGGTTCCCGGGGAGAAAGCGGGTGCGACCGGGAGGAGGGAGTGAGGAGAAGGCTGGAGCAGGGGGGAAACGAGGACAGGAAGGAGGGCGGGGGGGGAAACTGGGGCTACCGGAGTACACCGGCCACAACAACAATGCATCTCATTCTTCTGCTGGCATGCACAAGCGACATTTCTTGCTTTCTGAGGAGCCATTACGCGATCAGCCTCGCCCAGGTGTTGCCCGTTCACTCTATGGAGAATTCCCTACCAGACTCCGACCGTCCCCCTCGCGAGCCCACGGGAGGGTCTACTACCGGCCCGGGGACTTCCGGTGCCAAAGAGGAGGAAGACAAAAAGGAGGGAGAAAAGAGGGAGGAGACGGAGGAAGGGGTGGTGGGGAAGGAGGAGGGACACAAGGGCCCAGCGACGCGGGTATTTTTGAAAATGCCTGCGAATATCCTAGAGAAAGAGGTAGTTGGTCATGCGCTGGCGCCCTCTCCGGGTCAGGTCGCTCTCCGGACCCAGAGCCTCGAAGGTCTTGAGCAAGAGGGCCTGGGCCGCCCCCTCCTTCCAGGCCTTGTCCCGTTTCAAAATCTGCGGGGAAGAATGGGAAGGAAAGGCCGAGGGCACAGGCGGGGGTCGTTGGTAAGCCGGGTATATTTTAAAAAAAAGAAGAGCTGGCAGGGTCCCCTCCTGCCCTCTCCTCCCTATCTCCTACACAGCTCTCACTCCTCTCTTACCCTGGCGACTTCCACCCTCGCCCTTTTTTTATTTTGGGCTTCTTTTTCCTTCCTCTCGATCCTTCATTCTTGCTTCTTTCCACTTCCTTTCTCTCTCCCTCCCTCCTTCCTGCCTTCCCCCCCCCCCTTACCTCCAAACAGGCGTCGATGGAGGTTTCAAAGCGCTGCAGCTGAAAGTTCTTCAAAGCCAAGTTGTAGCGTGCTTCCAAGTCACCAGGATTGGCCATGACGCTACCTTGAAGCTTTGTTAAGGTGTCTTCAAGGGATGCCCCGTCTTCCTCCGCAGGAGCCTCTAAGGCCACTTCGACGAAGGAGACGGCCGCCCGGACCTCCTGCGGGGCAGGGGCTGCCTTGAATGATTCCCTGTGGTGGGGCGGGTAAAGCCG